ACAAAGTTACTCTTTCCACAACCAAATTTGATTGATTTGAATAAGTTATATTGGTGTCAATACCAACTTTTTGTGGCATATTATATGAGTGCTGCCAAGAGAAAAAGGCCAATTGGACTTTTAATATATTTTGTGTACAGTTAAGCGTCTATGAAAAATTTATTAAAATGATAAACTTTTCATAGACGGCTAACTATACACAAAATATATTAAAAGTCCGATCGGCCTTTTTCCCTTTGCAGCACTCATATAGTGGATTGATTCCACAAAATATATATTGAAGAAATCTAATCATACAAGAATGTCATCAATAGTTGACATAGCACCCATAGAGAACCTGTGGGCTTGCTATCATGAATATCATAATCATCACCACATAATTTTCTAGTCTAAGTTGCATAAAAAGCAATGTTAATATTGATAAAATAAATCACGAATATAATACGTATAGTCAACTCGATATTTTAGTACATCATACAAAAAAAAAATTAACTATACAAAAGTGACATCTTATAATGAATTAATAGTTGAAATTTGTTGTAAAAGTTAACTGTATATTTTTATATAAAATTACCTTATAATTAGCCATAACCTGATCCAAATTAACGTTTACCCATCTTGATAAACAACTAGGATTACAAAAACCACCAATTCTAACATGAATACCTTTTACACTAGCTAACTTTTCTACCTAAAAGTATCCAACCCAAGAACTATTAGCACGTTTTACATTAAAATTGAAGACAGGACCCTGAATAGAACTATCTAAGAAGTCATTATTAGCATGGATAACACACACAGGAGAACCATTCTAGTGTCTAAGTGAATTCATTCGTTTGTAAAGATAAGAACTAAAGGAAGTCACATGATTCTTAATATTACTAAAGTTCGTACTATTGAATTGAATACATGTTCTAAGGAAATAATCTCCAAAAAGTTAATAGTACCATCCTCATAATGGTCACTCTCGAAATTCTTGCCATAATTGATCATAAGCAACTGCACGAATTGCATATTAATAATAGATATTATTAATATAAAAATATATATTTATAATATTTATATTTTGATTATAAATTATACGAATTATTTGCATACCTGTTCCACCACCAAAATATTGCTTTTTAAATATAGGAGCCAATTCAGTTTTTACTAATAAAGCGCCCAAACCTGTGGGAAATCCAAAAATTTTATAAAAACTGATAGCAACGAAGTCTGGAGATGTAT